ATAATTCTATTGTTTTTCTACCAGCGAATACATGCATACATCCATATATGTACTATTTCTATATATTATGGCCCATCACCTTTACGATATCTCAACAAAAATGGGACCAAAATGAGAGGTACTTTTTGAATCTATAAGGACGGAAAGTGAAGGATGGAAAATTTGAAATAAATAGCCATATTGTCGTATTATTTTTTCCCTACGTCGGCATCAATAATCATTCCAGAATTACGTCATTTGACAGGTTGCTGAGGGGCAAACCACGATGGGCAAACATTGTATCTTGTCAAGATTTGTCATATGAAACCAGAATCCTAACATATAGTTTGTGTGCCCCTCAAGAAACCATGTCAAAATCGCATGTTCTTTGGTCCCGCTTTGAGGACAGCTAGGATTCATATGGTAGATATTAGAGTCCCTGTATATACCTTAGACAAGAGTCCGGACACAGCTATACTTCTGTCCTTTTCTGTTTTCAAAAAATGCATTGATGATTGAATAAAGGAATAAGACATATATATCGAACTCTGTCTTTTCAATTCCCCTAGTATATCAATGATTGTCAGAAACAATTTTGAGGGTTAGAGTATTTGTCAAACCTTTCATAGCCGTAGGAAGAAGTGAGAAATATGGCTATTTTAACTAGAATAACTATTAGATTTTCAAATAATGAACAACAGGGTGTTCAAATTTCGAATCGATAATCTTCATAATCAATTCCTGAGATGGCTATTGCAAATTGTCGTCATCAGAAATTTCTTCACTTCATTAGATATAAGAAAGATAATTCAAGTGTTCTACGTGGTATCAAATATAGCCAAGAAAATATAGTTGTTTTCTGTTGGGATATAAAGAAATAGAAGATATATAATTGTTTCAATATAATTTTAATTGTGTCGGTTTCCCACCTCTTCCTGCAGTCTACATTCACCTGTAAATTTTGAATTTGATCTGAATTAAAAACACCGTGGACTGATGACATAGCACATTGCAATTTCTCTAAATCTTCTAGATTTGATTTCAAACTTTCAATTTCTTTCCGCATTATCTCATTCTCATTTTCTTTCTTTGCGATCGTATCATTAAGTAATTCCCAATACGATGACGACGGAACACTTTTTTGAACGTCTCTATTTTATAAATTGACGGCACAGCAGACTCTTTCAATTTGAAATCCATCAGCTTGAAAGAATCTCTATCAAAATGGGCCTAAAATTCATCTTTCTTGTACTGTTTTTTCGAGTAAATTTGAATATTTACATCACATATTGCGGATTTCTTGAAATTAATTTTCCATTCTGGACGTATCATTGCATTCTTCCATGACATTATCTTTAAAGGATCATTCGGAAAATTGAATAACTTGAATCCCTTTTCTGATGAATTATCGCAATAATGTACGCAGCAGGACATTGAAATAATTTAAAATGCTAAATTTTGACGGTTATAAAATTTCAGTGACAGTGACAGAAATTCGAATTAATTTAAAAAAGCGGGCAGGACGACTACAAGGATTATTAACTCAACAGGATGGTTCATCCCCTATACGTCAATATATGGTTCATATATATGACGTCATGTCGTTCACCACCATAATCGCTCATCGGTGCACGGCGTAAATAAAGTGTTTTATGTTTTGTGGTTGACAGAAATACGGTTTTCAGTTTTGTGTTTTCTGTTATGTGCCATTTTTGAATATTTGAATTTAAAATTGATTCGAAAACTTTTGGCGGCTGGAATAATCCTATACTACTTATCTAAAGAGATTTATATTCTTGTGGAAGAGATTTATCTATCATAGATAAATATCTAATAATAGGTAAGTACTGTATGGTAGTATTTCATAAACTCAACTCACCCTTATTATTTCTTCAATTTTAGAAAATGGGGAAAGGTGGTGGACGTTGTTGTGCAATTTCTTCATGTAAGAATTATAGCACAAAAACGGAGGGCATCGTATACCATGTCTTTCCGAAAGACAAAATAATTAGTGGCAAATGGATTCAAATATGTGGAAAAACTGATACATTCATTACCAAAAACAAACAAATATGTTCTATTCATTTCACAGCGGAAGATTATGAAAGAGATTTGCGAAATGAGCTCTTAAGTAATTGAATTATAATAGTTTTCTGAATATTAATAAATTACATTTTTAATCTTTTTCATTTAGATTTACCCTTGAGAAAAATGTTGAAGTCTGATGCAGTGCCGTCTCTTTATTTGCCTTCAGACATTAAATCATCTGAACCTACTGAAAATCAAATTGAAGTTGTGGCAGAAGAACAAGAATGTATTGAACATGAGATAGATAGATTAGAAATAGGTGAAGCAGTGGTCGAAATAGGAGAAAATAAGGAAAATCTCAATGAGGAAGTTTTACTCTTGAGAGCTGAAATAAAATCACTTAAAGAGAAACACTTGAGGTTCAAAAGAAATAGTTTGTTGAAAATAAAAAGTTTGTATTCACAAGTGAAATATTATAAATCAAAAAGAAAAGTATCACCCTCTCCATCACATACTAAGAAGAAAATACAAGAAATTTTATCAGGAGTCCTTTCACCTAAACAAATAGAAATTGTTCTCAGAAAAAAGAAGAGAGTTGTTTGGGCTGAAGAAGATATTTCCACCGCATTTACCCTCAGATATTACAGCAAGAAAGCATATCTCTACTTGCGTGATAAATTAAAATATCCCCTACCATCCTTATCCACTCTGAGACGATGGGCTAGTCATATCAAAATGAATTTAGGTATCCTTCCTGATGTACTGAATATCATGCAATTAGCTGGTGAAAAATCTACTGAATTAGAAAGAACAGTGGTCCTCGAGTTTGATGAAATGAAAGTCAGATCATTATTTGAGTATGATGTGGCAACTGATTCTGTGTTAGGAGAACATTCGCAAATGCAGGTAGTCATGGCTAGAGGATTATTTGGTAAATGGAAACAACCTGTGTATTGTGCGTTTGATGCAAAAATGACGAAAGATATTCTTTTCGAAGTCATAAGTGCCTTACACAAAATAAATTATTCTGTGGTAGCTTGCACCAGTGATTGTGGTGGCGGAAACATTGGTTTATGGAAAGAGTTGGGGATTTCTATAGAGTCAACTTATTTTCTCCATCCCAACACACAAGAAAAAATATATATGTTTGCAGATGCTCCTCACTTGCTGAAATTGATTAGAAATTGGTTGCTGGATACTGGGTTTCAATTAGGAGACGGTACAATAATTGATAAGACACCTCTAGAATATTTGATTAATTTGACGGACCATGAAGTAAATCCACTTTATAAAATATCCAGAAAGCATATTGAAGTCGTTAAAACAAAAAGGCAGAATGTCAGAGTAGCTGCACAATTAATGTCTCATAGTACTGCTACCGCATTGAGAAGATATCAGCCTGGACCTGATAAGCAGCTAGCCTTAAATTTAGCAGATTTCATTGAAAATGTAAATATGTGGTTTGATATTTTCAATAGTTACTCAACCGAGGCAAAAATAGATACCAAGAGGCCATTTGGAGTGAACCTGGAACAGCAATTGATACAATTGAAAGAATTATATTGCATGTTCAGAGATATGAGGGCTAAAGGAAAGAAACAAGGAAATGGAGTACTTCAGATATTCCAAAAAGGAATTTTAATTTCCATAGAAAGTCTCCAATTATTATTCCAGGACATGAAAAATAAATATGAGATCAAATATATATGCACCTATAAATTAAATCAAGATTGCTTGGAAAACTTTTTTTTTCAAATTCGTAGTCGAGGAGGCTTTGATGATCATCCCACTCCACTTCATGCCATACAACGAATTCGTCTAATTATTTTAGGAAAAAACCCAGGCATACTTCACTCTGAGGCCAACACTGAGGATCAAACAACTGAGGAATACATGACTGCCAATGTATTTGAGAAAATGGATTTAGGTCTTTCTGAATCAGCTATTGCTCCTGATGAAGAGGCTGAAGATAATAATTTTATTATTGATAATGATAGTGGAAGTATATCATCACAATCATCATCTAACAGTTCTCAGAGAAAAAAACAAGAAATTTCAAAGGATGCATTAGAGTACATTGCTGGTTATCTAGCATGGAAATATAAAGAGACACACCCACTATTAGGAGATCATACCTACAAATTAGTTAATGTCCATGACTATGATTTGCCTTCCTGGGTGCAGCAATTATCTTATGGAGGTTTAATCAAACCTACAAATAAATGGATGAAGCAGGTTAAAAAGATGAATCAGCTCTTTCTTAACTATCATGGAGAAAATTTCAAGAAAGAATATAACACTGTAGCAAACTTAAGTAGATTAATTGAGAAAAGTGAAAAAATTCCATTCAAAATTGTAAAAACTTTCATTAAACTTCGCCTCATGATTAGGATAAAGTATAAAAATTTGAAGAAACTTGAATTAATAGAGAATAAAAAAAGGAAAAGCATGGAGAACAGTAGGTGTGAAAGCAGTAGAGTTTGCAAAAAAATCAAGAAGATTGTTACATAAAACTGAAGTCATTCTGTTTCCATATTTTTTGTATTAAAAGGATTTGAAAATTTGAAACAATTCATTGGACCTGGCCATTTAAAATCTAGCTAAACTGATTTCTCTAAACAATATTTAATAGCAAATTCAATTAAAACCTTCTTGATGTTCACAAAGTCCTTGCAAATCAGGGAAAGTTGAAAAATGTGTGACATTACATATTATCCAGTTTCAAAATAAAGTAAAAAAATGCCAAAAATAATTAGAGGTTGGTAGGCATTTAATTATAAATGTGGAAGAATATACAAGGATATCATTTCTACAACAGACATTTTTCTAATATCAAAGATTTTAGGTTTATTGCTTATTCTACCAATCAATAATCTCATGAAATTATTGATATGTTCATTGTGATATTCTGATAGCACATAAATTAAAATTTTACAAGTTTTCATACAGGAATTTGAAAGTTGAGTACACTGAACAGAATCTATTGTTCCATAGGCATATCTCACTTCAAATCCCCTAATATGGAGTTTTCTATGATTGATTAATCTTTGCAGTCCTAACAAATTCCTAGTGCATTTTTCATACCAACCTATACTATACTAACATGCATGAAAAACAACATGTACTCTGAGTACCTACCTATAAGATCAAATGAAAATCTGAATAAAGATTTATACATCTTTCCTGATGAATCAACCTAGAGTAAATATCAAAATTATATAAACCCTTCAGGAGAAAGTGAACTTAGAAATTGTGGGGAAATTTTTTATGATCTGGTTGCCTCTTGCAGGTCTGTATGTATCAATTTTGAGTGTATGCACAACTCAACTTATAACCTATTGTGTACTGTATTAACATTTCAATTGCAAGCTCCAAGCCATATCCAAGACCCATATCATGTGATAGACTTATTGATTTAGGGTTCAGCAATGCCATTACCACACTTTCACTATCTCCATCCAATGATAGGCTTCTATATGAAGGTAATTCTCCAGATTCAATTCCATCATCTAGTTAAATGTTGATAAGTGTAATTTCTGTAAAAAATACTTATAGATTTCTATCTGAGTATTCCATATTCATTTACCTTTCGAATCTGAATAGTCAAAGGTATAATTTTACATAGTTGTTGAAAAAACAACTCCTAGATTTGAAATATCCAAAATCAAAATTTGAGATATGTCTAGCAGGATCAGCAGGTTCTTGATATGACAATATTCCACAGCACTGCTATACTTATTCAAAAGTTAGCTCCAATAATAGTTAAATAATCCTCCAGATTGACCTATTTTCACAGTTCACAATTATTGGGGAATCATCAAGTCAACCTGAAAAATAATTACCATTTCATCACAATCAGCTTATATAGTATCCACAATCACATTATATGATGTTTCTGTGGAAAATATATCATCTATTGAAGTATTTTTCATCAGTTATAAGGAATACAAACCTACCGAAATCAAAAGGAGTTCCCTTTCCTTCTCCAGCCATTTCCGAACGACTTTCGAAACACTTTCTTCCTTACTGTAGAAATCAATCAATTACCTATATTTTTGTAAATAAAAGTATGAATCTTTCGATAATAAATCATTTTCATTCAACATTCGTAAAAGCAAAATTTGAGGTTAGTTAGGATTTTTAGGATTCCTTGAGATTCTTCATAAAACAGCAACTATCTCTGACAGGCGTGACGTCATGCCGTTAATCTTTCTGATTGGTCATCGCCGGATGAACTATCCTGTTGAGTTAATAATCCTTGGGACGACTATGGTGTTTTGTCACATTGTCAGGTGTGCAAACCAAATAAAACAAAATATTAAAAATCCCTACGGCTGTCAGTTTTGTGTCCGGACTCTTGTCTATAAGGTATATACAGGGACTCTAGTAGATATTATATGGTCCAAACTCACGTTCTACCAACCTTGCAATCTCGGTAAACATCGCCCCCTAGAGGACAGTGTGACAAGCAGAGTTGGTTTTTGAAATTTTGAATGTGAAACAAATTATTGTGAATTAGAATTTTTATTCAATCAGACATGCAGCTGTTAGATTCAAACAAAATAGGTTCGTATTTACGAATATCCATCAAAATGATTATTAAATTATTGGTAAGTGAATTTATATGTAACAAATAACAGATGAGGTTGAATATTGTAATCCAATAAGGCACAGCTCATAGAGGCTGTTAACATTGATAAAATCAAAACAGTATGTGATTATGAAAATTTATTAATTGCACTCGGAAGTATTTAAGAAAGTAAAAGATCAAATGCACCATTTTGAACTCCTTCATAGACATAGGATGACAGGTATTTTGATGAATAGTGACTTGGTCACATTTTTATCATCAAAATCATGTTTCCTGAATTAAAGAACAAAAAAACTTCAAGAGATACCCCATCAGCCATCACAGATAATTGCAAAATTACCTACACATACTTAAGCTCAACTACTATCTTCTTTTTCTATTTTTACAAAATATTCAGTGATTTCAACTGGTTGATGATCATCAACATCAAATTCTACTTTGACTTCAGTTTTTATCATTACATTGTCTATACCAGATTCCAATGACCCAGAAGTGTCATAACAATTATTGTCATCTGTTATGGGCATCTCACAATCTGGAAATTGAGATGAGTACTCTTCAAGTTTAAACATCTCTCCTTTAACCATTTCACTATCAAGTTTTTCCAGAGAATTACTAGGCAATGCTGCTTCATTGTGCACTTTCCTGTGCCTAGTTAGCTCTGTTGTTCTCTTGAATGTTTCCTTGCAAACATCACATTTGAATGGCTTTTCATCAGTGTGTGTTCTCATATGACTAGTCAATTGAAATTTCCTTGCCATGGTTCTTTCACATATTTTACATTTGAATGGCTTTTCTCCTGTGTGGACTATAATGTGTAGCTTCAACATGCTCCTAGTCAAAAATTTCTTCAGACATACACCACATTCAAATGGCATCTCACCAGTGTGTATTTTATAGTGTGCATTCAAAAGGCTCCTCTTTCTGAACCTCTTCAGACAAACAGAACATTCAAATGGCTTATCATCATCAGTGTGCACTAAATTGTGGACAATCAAAGAACTTTTATTCTTGAACTTCAACGGGCATACACTGCATTCAAATGGCTTCTCATTGGTGTGCACTCTACTATGTTCTAACAGGTGACACTTCTTTCCAAATCTGCTAGAACAAATGTCACATCCAAAGGGTTTTTCTCCAGTGTGGACTTTATTGTGTGAATTCAACTGCTTTTTGCTCATAAATTTTTTTTGGCATAAACCACACTCAAATGGTTTTTCACCTGTATGAACTCTTAAATGTTCATTCAATTGACAGTTTTTCACAAATCTTTTCAAACAAGTTTCACACTGGAATGGTAAATCACCATTGTGTAGCTGAGTGTGAACATTTAAGGAACTCTTACAAGTGAATCTCATATGGCATAACCCACATTCAAATGGTTTTTCTCCAGTGTGTACTCTGTTGTGGTCAGTCAGATGAGACTTTTTTCCAAATTGTTTCAGACAAACATCACATTTAAATGATTTATTACCAGCATGTACCAAGTTGTGTACATTCAAGGAACTCTTTTTAGTGAATCTTACTCCACATATATCACATTCAAATGGTTTTTCTTTAGTGTGCACTATCATATGGTCAATTAAATGGGAGGATCTCCCGAATTTCTTCAAACACACTTCACATTCATATGATCTGTCACCAGAATGCATTACATTGTGAACATTCAATGAACTTTTATTTGTAAATTTGATTTGGCATGAAACACATTCAAATGGTTTTTCCCCTGTGTGCACTCTAGTGTGGTCCTTCAAATGTGACTTCATTTTGAATTTTTTCAGGCAGATTTGGCATTCATAAGGTCGTTCACCACTATGCACTCTATTGTGTATTTTCAACAAACTCTCACTAGCAAATTCCTTGGGACAAGTGCCACACTGGAATGGTTTTTCTTGTGCATGTGATATACTGTGCCTAGCCAGTGTTGTAGGGCTTGCAAAGTTTTTGTAGCAAATAAGACATTGGAATGGTTTCTCAATTATGTGATGTCCCAGATCCATCTTGTTAACCAAAAGATCCAATAACTGTTTAGATTCTTGAGGATACTTGCCTCCTGTTCAAGTTCCTGTTCTCTTTCATTCCACAATCATTTGGGCATGGGATCCTTCAAGATCAAAGGAATCTTTTTCTAATGATCTTATTCTTGTTCAAGGGGATCCTAGAAATTAAAGATCAACCAAATGTTATCCTTCAAATCAGTACCTACATTAAAGTCAATTTCCTTGGCAACACCACAAAGGTAGAGAAAGTTATGAAATCTTGGTAGCCACATCATGCCCATGGACACATCAGTGTGTGCAATCACTTTGCATTATATTTGGTATTTTTTATCTTAATGTTCTGCATTCCTCATAGCAGATAGGGCATACTTAGATATATTCCTTTCATGACTACTGCAAACATTTTCAATATTATTACCAATTTACCATTATTACCTTGAATTAAAAAACAGCCACTTATAATATGACGTGTTTTCTGACTTTCTTTCTTGACTGACCTCCTTTGCAGATTGCAGTGTTGCCAGCTGCTGAACATGAAATGTCGCAAAAAGTTACGAAAAAAATCGCTAGAAGTCGCTAGCGAGCGAAGCGAGCAAAAAGCATGCGCAGGCGAAGTTTTTTGAAAATTCAGCGAGTGTTTTCCGTAATTTTGTGACATTTTTGATAATCTTTCCTCATTTCCAGGCAGGTTTCAACTTCAGATAACCTCCAGAAATTTAAGAAGAACACCAATTCCAACCTTATTTCCTACCACATTTTGCGAATGTTTTGTAACATATAGAGTCTCCTGGCAATACCAATGATGTTTCGTGTTTATATTGAGGAAGGAAAATATCTTTTCTGCATGAATAGTAAATTTTTGAAAAATTAATTGAGTAAAAAAAAATTGACGCCTAGCAGGGATTGAACCCCAGTCACAACCGTGGTCAATATAAAAAAGGAAGAAATATCATGTGTTGTGGGCTTGTGGGTGACGTCACTTGACCTCGATGTTTGAAAGATTCACTGGTCTAGCTAGACACTTATAACCAGAGATAAGTTACCCACAGAACTGGGTAACTTATCTCTGCTTATCACTGGCCCTACTTCATTTCTTTCCTTGTTTCCCCACTAAATATGGAGAAAAAAATCTAGTGAGCTGTAATCATTCTTTGGTGAAATGAGGTAGGTACTCAATCCACATTTCATCTTTGTCAAAGTATGTCAAAGCCACGATGTCAAAGCGTCTACTGGAGCGTTTCTGGGTGTTTGATTGCAAACGAGATTGCAAACAAACAGGGATATTTTTGTTATTCTTCAATTAAAGCACCAACATAGGTATGCTCCGAAGACCAAACCATTATAGAACTGATGTTATCTAAATTTGAGAAAACAGTAAAATTAATCAGTGGACATATATATTATTTGTAATTTATATTACATCAATTACCTTTTCAAAATATTATATATATCCACCTTTCAAAATACCAACAAAGTGACATTACCATAACCCAAAAAAAATCTTTCTCACTTCAAAAAGTTCAAAACAAAAAAAAAACAATTAGAAGGTTAAATAACGGCGTTATGCGCGAACCCTTCAACATAAAATGAATGAAAAATAGGACATGTTCTATTTTGCATCCAATTTCTGTAACACATGGTGCAATAAATTCTGAATACAAATTCTCATTGAAAAAATGGATAAAAAAACTGGCCCGTGTCATACGGACTTTATGTGTGCACATATTTTTTGTGAAAAAATGTATTTATGTTAATATTCGTTGTATACATTACATTATATTATTATTATTATTATTTTTAACAACATACTTAGCTTTGTCTACCAGGATCACATTCTTAAGTGATAATACAGCATATTTTGATTTGATTTTGATACAAGCATCTCACTTGCAGCTTAGGAAAAAAAGACGTTCTAGTTGGCTACAGGCTATAGGAAGATCTCTAGATGGAAATCTCAGTCCTCATAATGTGATATGCTCAAAACACTTCGAAAAGAATGATTCCAAACTTTTTAATAGTAGAAGGGAGAGCTAGAGTCTCCATCAGACAAATATAGGTGAGTGAGTCGGGAGACAACACAACCTGGAGCTAAAATCTACTACTTTTTTCCCTTGTATAATAAATAACTATTATTACCTACAAAAACATCTATCCAAAATGTCAAATTTGTCACTTCTCAAATAATACGAGAGCCTAAAGTTTTCGAACCATTCCCAAACCTCATTGTCAGATTGGTCACAGTTCAGTGTGAAACACTTGATGCATTCGCTCGTAGGAAATTAACGAGGCCCTATCGGGGTCTCGAGAAGAAAGAAAAACACCCTTGAAAGCCTAAATCACTATACAAATGATCACAGTGGGCTGACGCCATACTATTAGTTGACCAGAGTGAAACTTCCTGACCAAACTCAGCCTCCACAATTTTATCACTGAACTATACCCTAGGTGGTTCGAAAGATTTAGATCCACACATATATGCCCAACGATCGACCCTGTATATATGATTACGAATAGTGCCCATTGGGGGATATTATTTTTTGCAAAAAAGTGAACGAATAAGGAACATTGTCAAGAATTTTATACAAAGAGGGAATTCCTTGTTAAAATATTCATTATAGGACACACCATTTTCACCGGAAAAAAGGGACCATGTATATATATAACGGGTCTTCAGCAATGATTGAATGCCACGTGACCATTTTCAATGTGGCGTTTCTTTTCCACCCATGGTAAAGAGATGAAAGAGATACGGTTGTATTCTTGGTTGCATAGTAATCTGTCACGTGGTTGTCAATCATTGTTGGAGACTTATACCTACTTATTAATTCTCTATATATGCTGAGTAGGTATACCTACTCCATTCAAGACATCCGTTTAGATTTACTGCCATTAGTGCCATTAGTGCCATTACTAGATACCCAAGAAACATTCATTTGGTGCAAAATAAAGACCCAATACATCGCTCCCATACGGTACGGGGCTACCAAGAAAAGGACACTCCGGACGACGGATTCTCGACGGTCAATCAGCCGGCATTCATTCCATTGATGGGCTTTCAAATTCCCATACTGGCAAAGGAACGATCAAAATATAAAAATAATAATAACAATGGATGATGAGATAAGATCTTCATTTTGAAGGTTAACCTCAAATATTGTCTCGTCTTGGTAGCGCTGATGGTCCATTCTCCAGGTGTTCTATCCATTCTGTCGTATTTGTACATATACATTGATGTATAGGTCGCGTGCACGATGACTGAACCTGGAGGTAAAATATTGAAACACAACCTCTCTCTTCTGTGAAACATTGCGTGCAAGAACTGTCAGATGACCGACGCTGGAGGCAAAACATTGAAACACAACGTCACTTTTCTTATTCGATTACAAGTGATCGAAATAGTTTTCCACAATTATTTTGGCATATGAATCGTATTTTTCCGCTATTCATCAATTCGCTCATGCCATCACATTGTGCTGTTGTAAAATGCACAAAAACTGCAGCGGAAGATGAAGCAATCCGGATGGTACATTATGATCGATTATGATTTAAAAGTAGGTAAGTACCTACTATAGTCACTCACATATTAGTTTTCATTTTTGAAATTTGGTTATTTCTCTGATTTCTCATCGAAATTCCTTCTGCAGTAGGAGCTAATAGAAATATACCTGAAATTTCTAGAATAATGCAAGAAGATTGGATTCATGCAATCAATAGGGAGGACTGGTCTGGCATTCTGACGATCGTGTGTGTTGTAGACATTTTCAATTATTTTATCAGCATTAGCTTGTATTGCAGAAGTGGCAGAAGGCAGAAGGAATTTTAATAAGGAATGACAACATTTCATAATGATAACTATGTGAGATTACTATTTACCTGAAAAATCATATTCCCTAGTCTCTTGCTGCATTTTTTGTGCAGCACAATGCGAAGGCATGCTTGAATTAATGAATAACGCAAGAAACACGATTCGTATGCCAAAATATTGTGAAAAACTATTTCAACCTTTTGATTCCTCTGTAACCAAATAAAAAAGTGAGGTTGTGTTTCAATAATTCACAGAAGAATGAGGTTGTGTTTCAATTTTGCATACGAATCTTGTTTTTCGTGCTATTCATTAATTCAAGCATTCCTTCGCATTGTGCTGTTGTACTATGCACAAAAAATGCTGCGTGAGATGAAGGAATATGATTTTTCAGGTAAATAGTAATCTCACATAGTTTTCATTATTAAATTTTGTAATTTCTTATTAAAGTTCCTTCTGCCACTTTTGCTATAGAAGCTAATACTGCTAAAAGATTGAAAATGTCTTCAACACACATGATAATATTTCGTCAGCATGTCAGACCAGTCCTCCCATTTGATTGCATGAATTCAATCTTCTTGCATTATTTTAGAAATTTCACGAGTATTTGTATTAGTTCCTATTGCAGGAGGAATTCCGATGAGAAATCAGAGAAATTAAGAAATTTCAAAAATGAAAATTATATGTGACTACAGTAGGTAATTACTTTTAAATCATAATGTACCAACCGGTTTCCTTCGTCTCCCGCTGCATTTTTTGTACATTGTACAACAGCACAATGTGATGGCATGCGTGATTTGATGAATAGCCGAAAAACACGATTCGTATGCCAAAATAATTGTGAAAAACTATTTCAATCACTTGTAAACAAATAATATGGCGGCCGAGCGTGATGCCGTACAGCTATCGGCTGAGCTGAACAAATTAAAAAAAAACGAAATTATCGATATAATTGTGAACCTGAAAGTGCCACACAACACTACTAGTGAACTGCTTGTGAATTTCATAACAAAATTGCGCCAAAAATGTGCTCCAACCGATGAAACTGAGACATTTCATGATAGCCATGATGCAGTGGACATCGACAATCGCTTAGTGACATTTGAAAACGATAAATTGAAAGTGCAGGTGAAATCCCTCAAGCAGGAACTAGAAACTGTGAGTAAATTGACATATCACCTTGAAAAACGGACTCAAG